TATGGTGAGGCGATGGGTATCTTTACGCCTATTCAGGAACAATGGTGTTAACTTCCACTGTACGGCCCTTTGTTTCGTGGACAAAACCATATTAGTGGGGTCTTTGTCGCATAATCGAAGTAGTGTTTACGGCAATTCCCCACTTTATATGATGTACTACCCTTTTCGTGTCCACCAATTCAACTGCTGTGGATCGGATGGCGTGGCCACTCTAAACTAAATTCGAAGGCCAAGCATGTGAATGTAAAGTCCTACATGTGTAGCTCAGAAACAGAACGCGGTAGTTCCTTTCGAGATTAGAGGTTCGGCATCTGGATTGGCTGTCTAACCCGCGATATCTGAGGGGGAGTTCGCTCTTTGGTCATATGTTTATCAGAGCAACCAAGTTTTGTGAAGTCAAGCGGTGCCTGGCACGGCAGAATGAATTGACTGTATCATTTTGCATTACATACTTTCATTTGGTTTTCAAATGACCGTTTTAGTTAATTGAGATTACTTGTTACGTCACTCTGAGTTAGCGAAACATCAGAAAATCTGGTTTTCAAGATCAGTAAGGTACAAAAATTACCTAAGAATTTGAACTAATGGAGAACGTTCTGGAGTTTGGGAATTGGAAGTTGACATTTTAGAATACTTGCATTTTACTTAATTTAAGAAAATACACCTCAAAAAGGCCGTATATTTCGTCAAGTCCTACGAGTGCGTTTGACACATCTTTCCTCCTGTATACATTATATCGACACTATACTCAGGCTATCCAACGTCAGTAGTCTAACTTATCTGCAATGCACTATCCTTTTGCAAAAAGCTGATGAAATTTCCGGGTCATCTTGTTGTTTCGAGACATTTGTCTAGACAACCAGCGACCGACTGTCTGTCTGACAAACGACGTACGGAAAATTTTCAAAATTTCTCATAGACACGACAAACTCCGTACATTCTACTGTTAGCAAAGCTGTTTCCTGAGTCAAAGGATTTACAATCCTAACACATCAGTCGTAAGATCACCCAAAGATCAGATCCTCTTTAAGAATATTTGAGTATTTTCTGATACCCTGGAATTAAACTGCACTCCCATATAAATAGAACTCGAGGTGTTCTGAAAGATGGCATGTGCTGGTATACAGGTTCCACGGAACAGAATAAATTGAGTGACAGGTTGTCAAATTGTGCGTCGATTTTTCTAGACACACTGTTTTCTTATCCTAAAGGTTATCCGGAGAACAGGCCCCAACCTAGTCGTTCACTGAAAACGCCATAACCTATTGGGTCTACACGAACATGTCAAACATGCGTGGTTTTTTAGCCTCCTGAAGGACAAATTTAAATAACTCTGTGCGAACAAATAAGACTGGTGCTACCATTTTCCTTAAATATAAGAAAAAATTCTGATTAATCCAGTCTACACTTGAAGCCGGTATACCAAAAGATAGTTTACAAGACCTTTATCGTGTTTTTGGATAAATCCTATTCTCAGGTGCAATGTCCTGAACATTATTCGTATAGCCCAATATTTGCTTAGCTTAATGTATAAGATACCAGCAACGGTGATATATACGCACTTGCACAGCTTTTATCTCAAATAAAAGTAAATCTTAGGTGATTTTCAGTGAGAATTAAACACCGGTTCTACTATGTTATCAAATACCCAAAGCTGAATCATTTTAAGTTGTGCCGCCCACCTGTTTCCGGATGCAAACTTTCAGATGGTTCCGAATAATTCAACTCATCCTAGATGAGATGGACAGATGCAGAATGCGAAGTGAACTGCGTGCTGGTTTTTGCATACTTCATATACCTGTCAAGCCGCCTCTTAAGGGTAAGTAAAACACTTAATTCCCCTAGACTAGTCAGGACTCTCCTTACAAGTGAGAATGGAGAAATCTCAAGGAAAAAACGCCCAACTACGCAAGAGGCAAGCGAAGTTTTGATTAGAGAATACGACATCATTTGGATAACTTCTCTATGGTATACGAATCCAGTTCTGAGCGATCCTAGCCTAATGCACTTGACGTGACTAGTCAGTCATAAGAAAGAGCTTGCGCTGGTTGGACATAGACAGGCAACAAAGCGATCGAAAAGTAAGATAACAGGTTACAAATGCGGGGCGCCGATCAGTGGCCGGCGTAAGCTTACACAATCTCCCAATAGTAATCGAACAACACGCAAAGGAAGTCATTCTCAGGAGAAGCCTCTAACCACTAGCAAATACGATGGAATTCAGTAAAGACGCCCATAAAGATCAGACCTTACTCTAGCCAGGTACATACGGTCGAAAACAAACCGCTGGAAGAATGAGACGAGCAGTGCTTGTCAAATCTGTCACAACCTGTCAACGCAAGGTAGAAATTCCAGTGGTCAAATTTCAGGTCAACAGAAACTTGACTTTGTAAGGGCGGAAAGACAGCGATGTATGTTGAGAAGATTTAACGAAAATTCTCATCTATTTGTTCATCCTGTCGACATTCCAGAAACAAATTCCAAACTACAGTAATGTAACTCATGGAGATCAAGGTCAAAACATACTCATTTTTAGCACGGTCGTTTCTAGCCTTCTACTCAAAAATCACTAACACTGCATGTTGCTACCCTCTCCCATGTGATTTTATCTCCTAGCAACTTTTTTCACACTTCAACTCGTGTTTCCACTGGAATCCAGACAACTGTGTTTCGACCGTGTAGCCGCCATGTAGTTCATGCGTGATCGATTGACCTATCCATAATTTGGAGTTACAAACCATACATGTTTCGTCGTATGCGGGCGATTTACTGTAGTCATTTGTCGATGGCCTGATTGGCAAAACAAACTGTCATCAGGCAAAGTGATGAGACCTTAATGACTAGTGTACTAGAATAGTATTGTTCGTGGTCTGTGCAAACTGGTGTTTCAGTTATTTCACTGTTATTTGGAACATACGAGAGACAAACGGGATGGACAGACTACCTATAGGTAAACTCTGTTCTGCAGACTCGTGCGAATTTCGCACAAATTTTGGTTCAAATTGTTGCAGTTAAGTGCTAAATTGTGCACTACCACTCACGGCCTGTCTGTTCATATATTGTGGCTGAACCTCGTCGTCTTGAAAAGTCAAATTATACAAAATCGATTGCAAAATTGACCAACTCAACAGCCACTTGACTACATGAGTGACAGTTTCAGTATCGCATCTGCAGTGCAGTAAGTTATGTTTTCCTAAAAGTCGAAAAGTTACTTTTTCAAGTGAGATAATCCGATTGCTTGGAACTAGGGATGAAGTCTCTTTCAAACTTTATCTAAACAGAGTGAAAGGCCCGAACAGAACTCACCGGAAACACGTTGCCCAGTAGTCTTCCTTCTTGCTTAATAACGTGGCCATATTATTTGTTCACTAAACCTGCCCTTATTGGTTTGAGCACCAAGATGTACCACGATTTAACTTAAGCTTAACTGAGTGCATTAAAAGAATTGTCGACTTAATCTATTAGTTGTAGCGCTTTTTGGATTGAACAAGCTTACGCGATGAACTTACACTTGTTAAAATCAGATCTTTTATCTGAAGATGCGGGTGGTTAGTTAGACACTAGCATCCATTTAGAACCAAGAATTGAATGGTTTGACGTTTTGTTTCACACTCACCCTGAAATCAGCAGACAAGTTATATTGAGCAAGGACGAACATTGACAAGGTCCTGATCGAGAGTGAATTGAAGATGGTCCAAGCCAGCATTTACAAAACACCTTTGTAAGTCTCTTGTGCCATAAATCATGCCCTCTCGTCTAAGTTTGCCGTAACATCTCTACAAAATTCCCATCGTTTCGTACGAATGATATCCATATATTCAATAAATTCTTAACTTAAGTTTCGGCTATATAAATTCCAGTTTGTCCTTTTCCGTTGTGGTCTGCGTACAAGTGATTGTACTGGAAATGCAGCGCTGTTACAAGCCTACGAGCAAGTTGACCGCACCAACCTTCACCGACAAATTCAAAGGTATAATAGGTCTTTGCGTATCAAAGACGACGCTTGTCCAACTGATTGTGATCAGAGTATTAAGGGCACAGCATCACACCCATTTTCTCTGGATATCTTAACCGGTTTCAGTATAAGGTTGGAGAAATTGAGACGTAAGCTATACACTTTATCCGCCCATCGAAAAAACAATATGGTGTTGAAATGTGTCACAGGAATATGCCATCAACAACCTTGAGGTTGATTGGCCAAATTGGTTGCTGAGCCCAAAAACATTGCGCGCCAAATAACTGTTGATGTTAGCAAAAATTTATCATAAGTCAAGACAGATATTTGAGAGACATTAATAAAAAAAATAGGTTCAACAGCTGACTTAGCCGAATGGATGTGCAGGAATTAGGAGTTTTTTCACGTTCCACCATCGACAAATGTGAAACAGGGCAAGAGTGTGAGATACTCATGATTTTGATCACGACTTCACTCAAAGCTAGTGAAGCTGAGTGATTTTCAGGGAGAAGCTGGTACATTTTATCGGAAAGTAAATTCCCCAGCGGAAATAACGTTAGTTCGCCCGTGTAGCACACGAATAGTGCATGCGAAAAATTATGGGGTCATCCACTTAGTCCGTTTTGACGGGACAGCGGATAGATCGATTTCCAGCCATTTCGCTCCAATCCCCATCCACCTACTTCAATAAATGTGCAACCACTAACCCGTCGTAACCCTCCACCACGCTCTCCAACAATGCACTGAAAAAGTTACTTTGATTGGCTTGCAATCAAACGACCCAGCTCAGTGAACAAACCAGTGACAATGGCAGTGCATAGTAATTTACCTTCTTATCATCTGATTTTGTAAGTTTTGATCATTCCACTTGCTATTTCAACAAACCCTTGACAAGATTCGTGTTCATACTACATTCATTGTTGAAATAATTTAATTCTGAGATTAGCCAGGTAGATGCACTAGCGTCAGTAACAACTGCTTCGTAAATGTGACCAAGAGGTGGGCTGTAGTTTTGATCAGCTATCGCATGGACAATTCGTAGCATTTCGAGATGAATTCATGAAGAAAAATTGTCTGCATAAAAATTTTACTTTAGGTAGATCAGTGAGGAAAATTTGAGAGTAAAACATTACTCATAAAGTGTCAACTGTATAAGCCAAAATGTGGTCAACAGAGGTACCCTCATTCAGGTCCGATCGTGAACGTCACCATCGGCATAACGATGCTTTAACATGAGTTGCTACTATATATCATCGTTTCCCGGCATTGGGAAGGCCAAAGCAAACCCCGACACTTGCTGACGAATATTCGAAATCCATGAAGAAATTTTCGGGTTAGTGCTCAGCAGCTTTGGCAGAGAATCCCAATGATCTAAAGGGGAGAATTAAAAATTTGATAGAACCAAATGACAGAAATTCATGGAGAAGCCTGTAAGATGTGATTGACATTTGGTGTTTGAGTTTGGAGACACGGATATGTGCGTACGAATAAGTGATAAGTGGAGTAAATGAATAGATAAGTAAATAAGAAAGCAGGAGAACAAGTGGGACAAAACTGATCACAAGCTGTGTTAAAATAAGAAACTGATAGTTGCAACTTACTCGAAACGCGATTACACTCTTCAGTGATGTTGAGGACCTCGTTGATCAGTGATGCAACAATTTTAAAGTCATCTTCCAAAAATCCGCGTGAGGTGAGTGCGGGTGTACCTGCGGGCAAAAAATTTAATAGACGCAGTGCTAGTCCACATACATCAAAGTGAAGCACGAATATCAGCACCTCAGGGAAGTCCGCTTTTGCTACACAGACGAAGCTTCACGAATCTGTATTCACACAGGCAATTCCAAGTACGGATCGCGGAGCACAAACAACGAGGGCGTTTTCCTCTAAGAAACCCAATAGTATTGGAGAAAGTAAAACGCGATTCAGCCATTGCATTCCACGAATTTGAGTCAAACCATTAAATTAGTTTCGATGGTACACGTATACTACAGTCAGGATTAAAGCCACATTTGGAACGGACGTTAGATGGAGATAAAAATAAGGTAGATTTTCAGTCGCACAGGGAGCTCGCCTCAGGATGAACCACTTTCGCCCAACCTAAGTAATTAGCTGATTGCACGTTAAGCTCCTCTTGGTGTACTGTCTAGAAAGGATGCTTCCTGATGTACTGGAACGGGTTCAAACATCTGGGGTGACCACTCGAAGAAATCTTTGGTATATTTCTGAAGGGCCGTAAACGGTGAATAGGGACATTCAAAGAGTTATCAAGTGTCGATCGTATCTAAAAATGACCTCCCTCCACTTTGAGGATAAACCATTGTCATTCTCATCGTCATTGTCCCTACCATCACTGAATACAAACAAAACAAACAAACAAACAAACAAACAAACAAACAAACATACAACCATACATACATACAAACATACATACATACATACATACATACAAACATACATACATACATACATACATACAAACATACATACATACATACATACATACAAACATACATACATACATACATACATACAAACATACATACATACATACATACATACAAACATACATACATACATACATACATACAAACATACATACATACATACATACATACAAACATACAACATACATACTTACATACATACATACATACATACATACTTACATACATACATACATACATACATACATGCATACATACGCCTTCGAGCAAGCCTTGCCCTTTTGATATTGTCATCCAGTGACACTGGTGATAATCCACAGGCGACCGGATGGTATGGCACTCAATCGCACAAATGAGAGCCTCAGGATAGAATTCTCCTAGAAATTCGTTAGTTGCCTATTGATGACTATTCTAAACAGGGATCAAACAATTGCGCAATCCTTTTAGCATTTCAGCACGGCTTGGCTTTACGTGTAGGATGAATTGCTGTTGTAAATCTGTTGTTAAGTTGCTGTTGAGCTGCAGAGCCAATCATCACATAGAGAAATCCTGGGATACAAGCACGGTTAGAATTATACGTGCCCGAATACCTCAGTGTGCCGAAAATCTTTTTATATAAGTCACTTCAGTTATGTTGCTGCTGCATCGACAACTAACGACACAGCCCGTGAAAATGTGAATTTTACATAAAATAAAGCAGCGCTTTAACACAAGTAACCTCACACTTATAGCTATCAAAGGTCTTGAGAATCGCTAACTCTGCCATGTTCTCTGGTTTACTTGCTACATCTAACGCTCACATCCCTAATAAATCTACGTGGTATCTACGTAAATAAAAGGGTATCTCGTTCAGTGTATACGCACACTAATGTGCAACATAAAGCATACAACATGCTTAAAACTCGTTTAGCTAGGAGTTAGATAAGTCAACATAATACACAATCATCTCTTACCTATCCGAAGTCCCGAAGTTCTGTTAAAACTATCATCGTGTGGAACTGGTACAGCACTGAAAGTGAGTCCGCAGGCGTCAGCAACCACCTGGACCCGAGCAGCATCTCCCTTACCTACGTTCGGCCTACCTGAGGAACGGCTTAAATCGACAATCACGAAATGTAAATCAGTACCGCCAGTGAGCAGGTGAAGGCCAAGGGAGAGGAGTTCTTGTGCAAGTGCTTGGCTATTGCGTAAGACACGTTCACCGTACTCGATAAAATGCGGTTCTGAGGCCTAAGCAAGCGAGAGGAAATAGTATGCGGTAATGTGATCTGCCTTCAAGAATAATTACGTGATTTTTTGTATTGACAATGAGGAACCATAGTCACTAGTATGAAATTCGTCTCACTTTTTTCGAGAATGAGGGTGCAAAAACCGAACACTTATGTCACAAACGTAAAATAGGATGAAAAAGTGGCTCAACTTGAGGCACAGTGTGTGAAATCACAACATCTCAGTTAACAAACGAGGGAAGTTGCCTTAATCCTACTATACGGTACTTTGCCACACTGTATAATGCAGTGCTTTGCTACACTACACTACATCGCATTGCACTACGTGATATCGTACTGTGGTATACTAGTCAAATATGGATGAGTGCTGCACCTGCTCAGAACAATCCCGTACAAAAGTAAGAAACTCAGTAGCTCAAAGGGAGAATTTGCGAGTGAATATCACCATATTTGTCAGTCTTAGCTCAAACACAGCTTTCCAGATTAAGCACCTATTCGGTGCGTCGCAAGTTGTTGAAATCACAGCAGTTGAGATGTTGAGATGTCAGCAAATACTGGGTGAAAACAGTCCTGTATTGTAAAGGACACGGACGCAAGTGTAGTCTGTGGTTTTGTTCGTGCGGCACCCGTAATTAAAAAGTGCTGACAGTTTAAAAACTTGAAGGTTTCATGAAGAAGGAGGCGACTAAGGCAGGATGTAGGTCACCCCCAAGTATTGTTTATGGGGTGGCTCTTCGAGGATCTCAGTCATGGATTTGGGCTATTCCCTGATTCAACAGAAAGTACGGAATGCCTCAAATTTGACTAAATAACGCTTGTGAAACCACTTTTCCTGTAATATTGGTGTAAAGTCTAGCACCATCCGACCAAAGTTTCATTTTTATGGGTAATTTCTTAACGGAGCGAAATATATCAACTATCAGGCCAAGAATGTAAGGTTTATGGTTTAAGCATTATTCTATAAGTTGAACCGCTTCTGTATGAGCCCATGTGGTTAGGTAATATCTATGTTGGATTGACGGGTTGCCATTCACCATGACGGTCACAACCCAATGAGCCGACTGTCGAACAAGAAGATTCCCTCAAGGAGTCCTAAATAAGCGCGAACAACACGAGTTTCCTTCATTTTGAACAGCCCAGTGAAAAGATCGCCATTCTTTGTATGATCACACCATTCTACTCATATGTCATTCTGATTTGAACAATTAAGCCAATGATGAAATCTTTAGTGTCTTGTTTATTATTCCATAATCTAATGATCCGGACGGAAATGGTTTCTCTTTTACTACTGAACATATTTAGTCAAATTTAACCATTGGTGCCAGGAAAGCTGTATTAAGAGTTTTGTGATTGCTTGCGGACCAGTACGGTAAATAGTCTTCAATCCCAAGGCCGCCATATTGATTGACCCGAATAGGATGTTTGCTAGTTGAGATTTTATCGAAGATTCACCTCTTTTGCCATGCAAGCCATTGCAGCGATCACATTTTCATGTGGACCACTCTGCAGTCCGGGGAAAACGGCTTGGTTGATTCTTTCTTCATACTCCGCAACAGGCACGGTGCGATTTGAATTTTCACAGTTGGACGAATGACGCCGGTAGAAAATCATACCAGAACGTGGACCACGAAGAGTCTTGTGCGTTGTGCTGGTCACTATATCAGCGTGCTCAAACGGTGAGGGGATCAGATCTGCGGCAACCAGACCCGCGATATGAGCCATGTCAGCTAGCAAGATGGCACCAACGGAGTCACATATCTGCAATCAAAAATAAGGACGAATACTTTCAGTCTGCTTTATGACGACACTTACGCTTTACGGACCGCTCAACTAAGTGAAAAATAAAACTGGATGGGTTCCACCGAGAGGCAGTCTCAATAAGTCTGAACAACTTTGTGCGGTTGAGATTTTCGAAAACGACCACAGTTCTACCAGTACTTTTAAAGCGCTGTCTGGTTATCGACCGGTAGATGGATGTGAAGAAACAGTCACAGTTAATTAGTAATCTCTATATCCTTGGTTACTTTTGAATTCAGTAAGATAAAGTCAACGTATTCTTAAGCAGAGTACCATCAGTGCCCATCCCAAGAGGTTTGAGGACTCGAAACCACCTGGATAGTGGCATGGCGCTACAATCCAGTTACGGCAAGTGAACATCAGTATGGGTTGTCTTTCACTCAGAATATCATACCACCCACTCTCCTCTTGTCGTATGACGTACCTAACTGTAAGTTTCACATCAATTGGCATGGACTCTAATTACGTGCCAAAGTATACCGCAATCTAACTCCAGAAGATGGTCACTTTTCGGAGTAAACTAGAATAGATCGAGGCTATCAAGGAATACAGTTATAGACTAGGTAGGGGGAGTTCCTGATTTCAGGTAGCTCTCTTTCGGTGGAGTTATAGTGTACTGGGTGTAGAAATGTTTCAGGGAAAGGTACCGTGAATACCATTCATTGGGGGAACCCATACATAACCTGCTACTGACTGAATTGCAACACTTACCTTTCTAAACCGTGCATAGTCCAATAACCGAGGGTGAACACAGACGCCTGCAATGATCATTTTTGGCATGAATCTGGATGCAAGTTCCTCCAGTGCATCGTAATCAATTAACCCAGTATTCGACTGAAATGATAAGTAGTCTGTCTGAATTACTGACAAATATGTATTTACATATCTTGTCTCCTTAAATAATAAGTAGAGTTTTTCTCAAGAAAATAGCAGAATACCTGAACAGGAAATCTTGTGCGTAAAAACCTTTCGTGCCCAAGTTACCAAACAGAAAGGAACACAATGGCATTGTTTTCTGTGACTAGTCCATAATTTTTGAAGACATATTGCACGAAATATGTCTGTTAGCAGTAGCATGATGGTTCTCAGTAAGCAGTTTCTAGCATTTGACATACACAGATTGCCGATGTCTGTGGTTAAAGATAGAGTGAAACAACACATTCAGCAGTTACCATATTCCTCTCTTCGACCCTGTACCATTAAATCGTGTGCCATAAGTTATCACATGGCTTACTACATGACGACCATAACGCGGGAGCAAGACATCTTTGTGTACCGCTTTCTGTCCTAATTTTTCCCAAATATCCCCGCAGAATTCGTTAGATCACTTGGAGGGAATCCTCAGGTGCATCGACAGTGTTGTGAGGATGAATTGATACCGTTCTAAGGCCTTCTGAAAGGTGTACAACTCTCTGGGATTCATTAGGGTGCTAAATGCCATCAAAATGACTAGCCTTGAATCGTTTTCATGTTACACTGTTTTCCATGAGAAATGGTCGCCTCATACTACTCGAAAGAATGGTGGCCATCTTGGATAAAAACGTAATTAAACTGATGGATTCAGGTGAACTCTGCCCAAAGATAAGGCAGACTAGTATGATGCAGAACTCTGAGAACACCAACTGATTTTTTTATCATCAGTGTTCATATTTGTGTCAGCATTAAGAAGTTGCACGCTGGCAAAGCGGAATTGCACTCGACCAAACGGAAGGAAACCAAATCGTCTGATTGTTGTGACGAAGTCGGATGTCTTGATAAGTAAAGTTGCAATACGTGTCCCGACTGATGATAAGCGACTACATGAGTGGGTAAAGTAATATACGGTGTATTCAACCATCATTTCTTAATACATGTTACTTCAGTCGCAGCTGAAACAATGGATGATGTGGACTATTCGTGGATGGTTCCTCGCAGTTGATTTGGCTGAGGAGTTGCCTGTGACATCCACAATGGTGTATCATAAAAGCTGTCATACAACTTTCCGCCTAAAACTGGTCAGTATTTGATAAGCGACGAAAGGAGAATGTAGGGAGACGTTTACTTTAGAAACGTTAGCGATGGTATACATCTAAAGTCCAGGGAAGGTCTGTTTTCGAAAGTAATGTTTTGAATACACACATATCGCTGAAGTTACACACACTGTCCAAAAAGTTAGCTGAATATATATAATGAAAGCAAAAACACGTGTACCTTAACGGAACTATCAGCAACATAAAGCTAAACAGCAACCACTAATGCTCAACACCGCTTCTCCACTACGGCACTCTGTTTGTCTTTAGAGATTAGAATGATAAAAGGTGGCTTGTGCGACTGCACTATATGCCTTTTAAGGCTTTTACAGTTTAAACGGTTAATGAGACAAACTGGAAAGAGGCAAGGAGCTAAAATTTCATCGAGGACGATCAACAGTTTTGTTCTAGTTTATGCAGCCGGGTTCAAGATGTAATTCTGACCTCAATCTGGAGGGTGGATTTTATCCTCGGTACTATCCCATCAATTCTAAGCTCTTCACCTTGGCTATTCGTATCCTCGAAGTGGACAGAAAAAACGCATTCCTTGCTGTATTTAATGACTTGGAAAGTGTAAAACTCGTCCTAACGAAGGTCATCGTGCGGTCGCCTCACCGGAATGAATTTAGAAAGGCTTCAGGGAAGAAGTAATGTCAGTATCATTCAGTAGGAGAACTCGTGGGCAAACACAGCAAAAACATCAGCGAAATCAAAACACATTTTGGAGCTTCAAGCTTGTTTTCTATACAAAAAGAATACTGCGCATCCACAACACTTTAATTACGTCTTTTTAGTTGAGAAGAGCGAAAACTTACGTCTAAGCGATAAGACATTGTTTCGAAATAAATGGATGCTGCGCTCAACTTTTTGTTGGCAGTTGCATGACCGTGAGTTGGATGACCACCGGCCATAATGTCCAAACCCATGATGCGATCATGTGGTCGTAGAAGTGCAGTCATTGCAGCCATGTTTGCTGGAGACCCGCTCAGTGGTTGAACATTCACGCCCCACGGAGCAGCAGTCAAGCTTTCTTCGGGAAGCTTCAACTTGAAGAGTTCCAAAAGCCTTTTCTGAGCTAAATCTTCTATCTGATCAATGAATGCGGTACCTCTCGGAAGCCTGGGGGTATAAGTTTACCGGAATGGATTGTGAGTACGGTTGAATATGGGTGTAACAACAACTACTGACAACGAAGCACCTATTATAGGAGAAATTATTTTCATCTGTCAGAGAAGGGCTGTCCATCAACCGTATGATCCACCCCGGCGGATTTTCGCTACCCGATTGAAAACATAGGTACCCACCATTCTGACCTGAACCAACCTGTCTGCTTTTTAACCTTAGGTCGAGTATCTACTCGTCTCCTTAATCAATTTGGCGTTTTGCCGAGAATCAGAATGAAAGTTAATAACGAACTCTTTTCTTAAGTATAAAAACGGTGGCTGAGAGCGGAAACTAGGAATCAAGTGGACTCTTGACACACGGTAAAAAATATTGTTAAGACTGCAAGTGGAAGAAACCAGTATTCTAACAGTGATCCATGAAAACAACACTGAAGCAAGAGGTAATTTGGAGGATCGCTCAGTGGTCTCTGTCCCTGAATTCCATATCTATATCACAATAAACGATCTAAAGTTGCTCAGTTGACAGGATGTCGAAATTCGATAGCAAATTCCAGCATACTGCACCACAAAATAGGCAGGAAACTCTTATTCTTTTAGAGACGTCTACTATAAATCAGTGTCTGTCATTTTACAACAAAGAAAATATCACTGCTGCCATTGCAGTTCACATTGTTCTTACCTAACCATTAAAAACTCTATCATTTTCCATCGACACCAAGTTAGAAATAGACCAGATTGGAATGCCTTTCGGCATTTGGAAACCATTTAAATGGTGCACCCAGTCTTTTTTAATTCTTAGCAGTGGTTGTAGAGTTAAGTCGACTCTGCCGGCCGCAATCAGATAGTGGCTTCACTTTAAATGATTGTGTCGCGACAACCTTACGTTTTTACCGAAGGTTTAGACGATTTGACGGTGGTACCAACGTGTATGTTTCAGGTATTGTTGGCTGTAATTGTAATCCCCGAAACTCCGTGTGACTGCAGAGGATAAGACTGTAAAATTCGTGCTGAGAAGCATGTCCTAAAATAAACTACACGATTACATAACTGTTGGTTTCGTCATTTCAGGAACATCGTCTCAGTGCTGGCTGATTGAGTTTTGGTGGACAGAACTCACCTTAATAAAGCTGGCTATTAATACGATATGCCTGTTCGGAATGGCTGTTTGCTTAACCTTTGCCCGTAGCAGTGGTAAGCGAAATGATCCTATCGGTGTGTAGTCAATGTTATGTGACACATCACTTGTGTTGAACCTTCTGGATGGACCAACCAACGGTCTCGAACAAGATATACAGGCTTTGGGAATGGGATATGTCATGTGAAATAACCTAAACAGATCTATAAATGTAATAAAACGAGATGTAGACAAGCGTTTTATCGATCGGAACCCCCGAACAAAACCCTACATTCTCCCACTGTTTCGTGGGTCAGACTTTTGAGTCAGAGGCTAGGGTCAGGGTCCCCGAACAAAACCCTACGTCCTCACATTGCCTTGTATCTCAGACTTTTGAGTCGAAGGATCGAGGTGGGGTACCTCAACCAAAGCCCCTTCCTCGGTCTGGGCAACCGGGAAGTATCATTTGCCTGCGCAGTTCAGCGTCCACCGATGTCCCTCCCCAACCCCTTCCCACTGCACGAGCAAACTTCACTGGGCCATTTGACTGTCAGTCATCTGACCGAAGGGCCTTATGCTCCTCGCTGCCTACAAACATTAAATAAAATAATACCTTCCTAAATCCACGGGATCCTTTCTACATAGGAGCTTTTAACGTTCGTACTCTATGTCAAATTGGAAGACAGGCAATGCTTGCTGAAACCTTGTACTCCCTTAAAATTGATGTATGCTGTGTCTCCGAAACACGCATACAAGACCCGAGTGTGGTTCTGCATCTCAGAACGCCAAGAATGAACTCAGCTCTCTCACAGTTCTTCCTCCGTGTGTCCGGTGATCCAGAAGTGATGACTCGTGGATGCGATTTGAATGCTCAAGTAGGTCGTCTGAGCTCCTTGGAATCACATTTGGGTGGTCTATTCGGAGTCGATGCTCGCCGCACAGACAACGGAGATCGACTCCTTCAGCTGTGTGCTGATCACGAACTGTTTCTGGCAAGTACGAAATTTCAACATAAACGTTCGCACCGCGTTACCTGGCGGTCGCCAACTACAAATCAACCGTGGACCCAGTTGGACCACGTAGCCATCAGCCACCGGTGGAGAGCCACAATCCAAGACTGTCGTTCTTTCTGGGACACACCACTTGATTCCGATCACGCCGTGGTGCGCGCACGCTTGACAGTTCGTTTCCCTTCAGGCCATTGCAAGTCGGCAAGAAGCATGCCAATCCACTATCTTCGAAGAATTGCCATAGCTCAACAGTATCGATCTCAGCTAGCCCAACAACTCTCCACAGTAAAACAATACTGTAGTAACAGTGAGCATGTGGATGAAGCGTGGCAAAATGTGAAAGGAGCCATACTAGCGGCGTTCAGTGCTGCCTGCCCGACTTCTCAAATTCGACCACA